TGGCAATATCATTTTCAACGATGACCCTTTTCACTGGAATTACACCTCTCTATGGTTCTAGCCTTCAATATGCAGGCCCTGCAACTCTTGTCTGGGGATGGGTAGTGGTTTCTTTCTTCACTTGGTTCGTTGGGATTGCGATGGCTGAGATATGCTCCTCTTTCCCGGTTTGTCTCTTTTCATAAAGTTTATTTATGTAATTTATTTGTAATTGTTGTACTTTATGGCTTATGAAGTTAACATATGATTTTATATTTGTTTAATTAATTATGGAAACTAGTGGAGTAGTCACATTGGAATCAGCAAGTGCCTTGGCACTAGCTGGTTTCCAATATCAGAAGTTATTTTTAATCTTCAGTAACTGTAAATGGTTTGCTTCCTTTATAGCTGTTGCTTTTGGCGCTGGCTTCTTTCATGGTTGGCTGATTTTTGACACTAGCTTCTCAATTTTTTTGGCTCCGCCACTGGCCAAACCATAACATTTTACCTATATCCCACTCCTCAAATTGCAGCTCCCTATATGAAGTTTTTCCATCATTTTATCTCTATAGTAACATCAAACATAGAAGTTAATTTCTGATGGCCATTTAGGAAACTTTACATACTAAAAATACTCTATTCCTGCTGCAGAAATGAGTAAATGAATTCAGTAGTTTACAGAACTAACTTGTACTTCCAATTCAATATAACAGACAACTGGTTCTCTATACTTTTGGGCTGCCCATTTAGCCGGTCCCAAATGGGGACCATTTTCTTCATGGTGCTGTGCTTGGCTCGAAGCCATAGGGCTTATTGCTGGGATTGGGACTCAGGTACTTAACAATTTGGTGAAATTTCTACTCAATGTTTTCATAGAATGTTTACATAGTAACGCATGCTTTTCACTGTTGGAAAGGCATATGCAGGATCACAAACGTTGCAGAGTATAATCCTACTCTCAACAGGTACAAATAAAGGTGGAGGGTACCTCACTCCAAAATGGCTGTTCTTGTGTATGTACATTGGCCTCACTATTATTTGGGCAGCACTGAACACATTTGCTTTAGAAGTGATTGCATTGATCGATATGATTTCAATATGGTGGCAGGTACTTTTGCTTCTTTATATATACCTATAACTGCCACAGGATGGCCTAAGCTTGCTTATTCTATGATTAAGAGGAGAGAATAGAAGCGGGAGATATTTGATTAAACCCAAGTAAACTTACTACGGGTAGCTTATATTTACGAACTTTTTATTTACAAATTTTTACAAACTACACTATATACTACGGGTAGTACATGCTCAAGTAGGATGTACTTTCCATAGTACATAGTATAGTTTGTAAGAACTTGTAAACAAAAGTTTGTAAATATTACCCTGTTCACTTACTATAGTTCATCTCTATCAAGAAAATATTATGTAATGTACTTCACAATATGGTCAACAATTTTAATGTTCTTTTGGTGTATTAAGAGTAACTAACTCGTTTATTCTGTGTCAGGTTATTGGTGGAACGGTGATAGTCATAATGTTACCTCTGGTATCACTAACTAGAAAACCTGCTTCATATGTATTCACAAATTTCGAATTGGCCACTGGATCAACAGGAATATCAAGCAAACCATATGCAGTCATTCTATCATTTCTTGTCAGTCAGTATTCCCTCTATGGATATGATGCTGCAGCACATCTAACTGAAGAAACTAAAGGTGCAGACAAGAATGGACCTATTGCAATACTAGCTAGTATTGGTATCATTTCAGTGTTTGGATGGGCTTACATCTTGGCACTTACATTCAGCATTCAGGTAAGCATATGTAAATTGAAGTTAGTAATAAACATCTTGAAGAGTATATAGAATCAAGTGAGTTCTTTTAGTTTGCTTGTCTGTTGTCTTAGGATACACTAAACATCTTTGATCTAAAGGATGATAGTTACGCTAGTTTTCAACTCTCATTCAGGATTTTGGTTACCTTTATGATCTAAACAATGAAACTGCTGGAGCATTTGTGCCAGCACAAATACTCTATGATGCATTCCATGGAAGATATCACAATTCTGCTGGAGCAATCATTCTACTATGTATCATTTGGGGTTCATTCTTCTTTGGTGGGCTTTCAATCACTACAAGTGCTGCCAGAGTGGTAAGTACAGTATTTTTTTCTTCTTCTCTTTTTGTTGCTTAGATTCATGAAACCTTGGGGTATCTAACTTCCACAATCAGTTTACCTCCTTTGCAATTGCTAGAAGATATCTTGTGAGGAAAAGGAAGTATTAGATTATCCAATTTTCAGCTTTGATTACAGATTAATAATGCTTTAAGAAGTAATGGGGTTTTGGTTGCTAGTGTCTGAACCAAAAAGATATTGGGGGAATAATGCCTCCTTACCAGTGTGGTGTATCTCAAACAATTTTCAGGTTTATGCTCTGTCAAGAGATAAGGGAGTTCCTTTTTCATCCATATGGAGGAAACTGCATCCAAAACACAAGGTTCCCTCAAATGCAGTTTGGCTCTGTGCAGCAATCTGCATTCTTCTTGGTCTCCCAATTTTGAAGGTCAATGTAGTCTTTACTGCAATAACTTCAATATGTACAATTGGATGGGTTGGTGGTTATGCAGTTCCAATCTTTGCAAGGATGGTGATGCCTGAGAAGAACTTCAAGCCTGGGCCATTTTATTTGGGCAAAGCAAGAAGACCAATCTGCCTGGTGGCATTTCTATGGATTTGTTACACATGTTCTGTATTCCTTTTGCCAACTGTGTACCCAATTTCTTGGAATACATTCAATTATGCACCAGTTGCTTTGGGGGTGGGTTTAGGTCTAATAATGCTTTGGTGGCTGTTGGATGCAAGAAAATGGTTCAAGGGGCCAGTTAGGAATATTGACATTCAAAATGGCAAGGTTTAATTCTTCAGAAGTTTCAAAAATATTTGAAGGGATATCCTTTATATTGTTTTCGTTTGTGTTTCTTTGACTTGTACGTTCTATGGTCCACAATATAGTTGAAATTTCCGTGTCAGTTAGAAAATGTACAGTCATTCGGTTCAAAAAGGTATGAATGATAATTAGAGTTGTAAATGGGACAGATTAATTCAAACTTTGGCTTTGATAGTCTATTAAATGTTTGATTTATACAGTGTTATGAAACCCGGTGACCCGGAATCCGACGAACCTGTCATCGGACCAGTTCCAGTCAAGCATCGAACTGACCATGCATCGGACCTTGTCAAACTCGGTCAAAATCGATGACCGGTCGGGTCATGCATTTTTATAAAATAAAAAAAAAACTAAAATCCGTAATTGTTTCGTCTTGTTAAAAGAATTGTAGAACTCATTTTAAAAAATTTTGTAATTTTATTTGTCAGTAGTATACTCTTCTACAATGAAATCAAATTTCAGCTTCCAATACTGAAGCAATTCGCAGAACAAAAAATTAAGAGAACGTGACGTATGTCATTTAAATGTAGATGAATTTGAAAAATATGAGTTCACAGCATTTGACCTTTTGAATGTTATTAAGAGGTATGTTTATAGGGATTATGAGTTACAATTTAAATTGACATAGTAATATCGTGTATTTTCATTTATTTGTGCTTTATGAACTTGTAAAAGTGTGATTGAGTAATTTTTGAACTTATTTAGTGAATCTTGTTTAACTCATTTTAGATATGGAGAATATAATTAAATTTATATGTTTATATTTATATATATCCAGGTCAATCGATTCGATCAGTGACTCAGTGGCCCAATACCCCGATCGGGTCGATGCCCGGGTCGAATTTAATAACACTGAATTTATAGGTCTGATCTGACCTATTATACAAAACTAAAATGGCTAACACGACACGTAAGGCCTACCAAACTAAAGTTTATAAGCCTAAACCAAATTGAAATATAAAAGATAAAAAAATTTATTTATAAAGATCACATGAAATGATATTTTCATTAACGACACATGAAATAATATTCATAAAGATCACATGAAAATATTCATAAAAATTACATGAAAATTTCATATATGTATATATACATATAATTTGCATTTTCTTTATTAATTTAATTTAGTATTATATTTTAAATTTTAAATAAATAATTATTATTTATTAAAATAACATTAATCTTATTATTTTGAAAATGAGTGTCACAAATTAGGGGTGTTCGCGATTTGGATTGGATCGGTTTTGGAAGCAAAAATCTTCCGATTCAATCCCTTCGGTTTTTTTTTTCAAATCCGATTCGATCAAATCCAATTTTTTTGGGTTTGAATTGGATCGGTTTTTGATTTTTTGAAAAGTCTAAAATTTGTTTTACGATTATTGTGCAAATAACTTATTTTAAATATCTTGACTTTGTAAAGTTGTTTTTTAATACAGAAACATCAGTAAATGATAATATAATTTTTTTTTGCAATGAGATATGAAGCTCTACACAGATGAAATTTTGCTAATGCGATGTGACTAGGTTTTTTTTTTTGAGTTTAGTTGATGGGTTAATGGGTCATTGGATTTAGAATTTTTTGGGCTATGATTGGAGAAAGACCTGAGTAGGTAAAGAGAGAAATTAATATATTGGATCGATTTTCATCAACCAAACCAAAAACCGATCCAATCCAATTAAATTTGTGATTTTTTTTTCAGTTTTCGATTTTTCAATTTTTGAATTCTTCGATTATCGATTTTTCGGTTCGATCACCGCAGTTTGAATCGATTTGAATCAGTTGATAAACACCCCTATTACAAATCATGATTTCAGAATATGTCTTTAAGTGAACAATATATATCATAAATATATTATATTATTAAAAGAATTAAAACGCTTGTAAACTTTTAGACCAAGCTTTGTAAAGTGGATTTATGTCCTAATTTTTAAATGAATTTTTCTAAAAGTCTAAACCTGTTTTATTTAGAAAATAAAACAAGTCAGGCTATTCTGTCTGGTCTATTTACATCTTTAATTGATTCAATTTTTGTCATGCTTCATATGCTGAAGTAAAATTGGGATGCAAACAAGTCATAACCAAACATGTTATTTTTGCAAACGAGCAGTTCATAGACATATTACACATCGTTAAGCTTATTTATTGATTTTACTCAAAATCACTTAGGAACTACTTCCCGGGCAAAGTTGTGTGGAAACCTCTTCACCTTTGCTTTGAGTTCCCTAAGTTCTTTTAAATCTTCCACCCATATACTATAACTTGAGTTCTTAGCGAGAACATCTTGGGATACCTCCTTATTTTCAATAAGTTTCATCGCATACTTTTCAAATTTCTCAATGTGATCCCACAACACAGCCAGCTTGCTTGTGTCACTCTCACTTCTAGCACCATTCAACCAATCCATTGCTTCCTCCACCCTTGCCCAAAAACAAGAATCTTGTGTCAAACTTGCAAACTTGCTCCTCTCATTATTTTCTTCAGCAGTGACCATTGTATCCTTCCACCACCTATCAAAAACCTCATATCTCCTCTCTCTACCATGCTTAATGTAATGGCCCTTGGTTGTGTGCATCCTCTTCCCATAATATTCTGCAATATCCAATGGCTCAACCAGGAGTTTATAGAAATGTGAAGCATTGACCCATTTAGCTCGCATTTCAAAATCATGAGGCAACTCATTTCTCTCTTTCATGTCAATTACATTGTCCCAGAACCTAGCAAGTTTGCGACGATTCATGTTGACTTTCATGTCCCTTTTTGAAAAGCCCCTCCTCCTCTTGAACAAGTCATAGTATCCCATTTGATCAATTTGCTGGTCACACCAAGCTTTATACCATTCTATTTCGGCCCTGTAAGGTACAACCTTGGATAATCTAACTGCTAGCCTAGCAGCATTCTGGGTTGGTGAAGGTCCCATTCTCCTTGTCATCTTAAGGCACTCCTTGGCAGGTTCTATAGCCGATTCCTATAGTTAAATGAAAGTAATTTGTTCAGCAAAATCACCTTCTTCTAGTGGAAACATGTGTAGCTAATAATAATATTAGTGAGAAGACACTGCAAAGTTACTCATGTGCAATAAGAAAAAAGATTGACAATTTAGTATTAAAAGTAAAAAACATAGAGAGAAAGAAACATCACATAATGATGGGACAAGATAGTGCAATTACCTGGTTTGCTAACCCTGAAGACTGAACCGCCAATTCAAGCCCTGCTTCATAGCTTGACTCAGGAATGTTTCCCTGCATGGAATTTTTCTGGTTCAAAAATTGCAAAGACAATTTATTAACATAGTCTCCATACTTTAGATGGTCCTCAATACTACAAGCTGGAGAACTTGATAAAAGCATCAAATGCATCATCTTTACAACTGTGGTTGAACTATCCACACACACTGCTCCTTCTTCTGAAACAAAAAAGTAGCTCCCAAATGGGTGAAACATAATTGGCACTGACCCTTCTCCCATTTGTGTGGCTGCATGCAAGTAACTCATTACAAAGTTGAACAACTCAGCTTTCTGTTTGTCAGAAATTTGAACTGCAAGCTTCCCAAAGTGTGGAGCAGTCATAGACAATTGCCAAACCTGAAGCAGGTTATTTAGCTGAGCAGTGTGTGGTACTATAGGGGCAAAGAGCAACCTTGGCATTATGTCATGCTTTGAGACCACGTGACAGAAGTTACCACCCCATCTTTCTTTGAGAATGGCACGAGAAAAAGAGCCATTACCTAGCAATGGTGAACCAAAAGTGATGCACAAAACTGACAGAGACACAGAGGAAGGTATGTGTTGGAGGTAAGACAAAAGCCAAAGAGCACATAGAGAGGCAGTGGCTCCTCCAATTGAATGGCCGGTAATAACAATTGATTTGGTGTTGCTATTTTCCATTATTGCCAACATCTGCATGGTAACATTAAATTTTGAACAATTAGTTGAGAATGAAATTCTAGGAAAACAAATTTAAGAAACAGTAACCAAAAAAAAGAAAGAAATCATTTTAAGATTGTAATATGGAATATTAAATTAACGAATAAAACAAATGATTTTGATTTCATATGAATCGTTAAACATGTTTGATTTCATATTCATTTTCTCAAAAAGTAGGTAAGGTGCACATGGTGTTGGCCAGTACGGCACGACTTCGATTTCGTTGTGTTAACATCTTGATAATTCGAGTCTTTGTAGTCTTGCTTCCGAAACATTGAACAAAGACTAATGCTACTTCTAATTTTGTACACCAGAAAGTTCACTTCCCCTACTAGCTCAATTTGTTGTATGAAGGCTTAAATAATCAGATTATATTTGTTCAAAAAAATAATAATCAGATTATATATTATTGATAGAGAGAGTTTTGTCATTCTTATAGTCCTTCCGAGCTTAAATCTGAATTAGTTAATGCCGAATAATTTATAAAATAAAAAAAAAGTAAATATTCTTTTTGGTCCTCAGCAAATTTCACACGATGCCCGCTTTAGTCCCTAGCAAATAAAAAGACCTATCGTGGTCCCTAAGAAATTCAAAATGAACTCATTTAGCTAAAATCGTAGTCCCTCACAAATTCAAAAAAGACTCATATTAGTCTCAAAAGGACTAAAATGGGTCCATTTTGAATTTTTTATAAACCACGATGAGCTTTTTTAGTTGCTGGGGACTAAAACGGACATCCTAAAATTTGCTAATGAAAAAAAGAGTATTTACTTTAAAAAAACTGGATTTAACCAAGCCTGCCTGAAATCACTAACACTTTCACACAAACAATTACTCAAATGGATATTATTCAACAATTCTGGTTTCACTAACGCTTTCACAGAAATCAGGAAGGCATTAAATTAGTCACACTTTCACACAAATGACACGTAAAATATAATTGAATTATTATTTTATTTTTTTCACGCATCAATATAATGATGATGAGGCATTAAATTAGAATAATGGAGGTTTAGTAATTTCTATCGTTGACTCTGAAAATTGATCCCACTACGAGTCAATGTTATGCCTTTATTATATGGCATCATCTATTAGTGGCCGAGGCAAATGATGTCCCTTCAAAGTCTATCCTTTCGAATTGGAATCTTGGAGGGCTTGGTTGGTGGGACCCATGTTCGGCATGAGCTTGTGGCTTTTAGCACGCGGAAAACACGGCGAAAATCTTCTTTGCTTTTTGTTCCTTATTTTATATCCAGAATTAAAAAGGGACATAGAAAATCAATCAAAACAAATGATGGTAGGTTAATGGATGAATCGGAGTTGAGAGGGTGACAAAAGGATTTTGGTTCAATTTTTATTAATATTATCTTTGGGAGAGACAAAAATTTTAATCCTTTATCCCTCTTGTATTTAAAATTAGTCTTATAATCGATTTAAAAAATCGTAACTTATGAAAATATTTGAAAAATTTATTCAACTTAAAGATGTAATTAGAGTTTATGTCAAAAAGAAAATCAATTAAGATTTTCGCGAATAAAGCGCCCACCAGTGTCACTACCACAATGCAAACCGACACGAAAAGTGACTTTTTTGGGTTGAAGACTCAAGCCCCATTTCAATTTTCAAAGTTGTTGTTCTTCACAAACTTGATTGATTTCAAAATTTGACAAACCGACAAAAAAAGTGGGAGTTGCGGACTTTCTACGGATCTTGTAAATTATAAAATGCTCTACTTTGAGTGGGAATGACTGTAGCATAATCACAAAACTAGGGTAAACTAATGTTATTTTACCTCAAAATTAAATTAATTACTCTTACTTAATGTTATTTTTCAATCGTTGATTTAATTTTGATCTAATAATAAAAAATAATTATAAGATAAAATAGATTATAAATATAACTTCTCTCTAATTTAATTAATATAGTAATTTTACGGTGATAGTGTACTAGTTATCTCAAATCTCAATGGTAATGAAAATTGAAACACCGTCACGAAAAAATAGAACGATTAGTGCTATTTATAATAAAATTAATGATTTTTTTTTATCTCTTATACATTATAATTATTAACCAAAAATATGTTACGATTACGAGTCTCTTAAGAAAATAAATAAATAGATAGTGGGGATTTCTTTGTTTAAACTTTTCATATCATATTCGACTTATTCTTCTTCTCTAAATTTCTATTATATCCTTTCCCTGTCACCCTCATTTTCATGGCTTCACATTCACTAACATGCACATTGGAAAATTGGTGTGAAAGCGAGATGGAATGGACGATGCTGATATTTATTTATATCCAATTTTACTTTTAATTAGCCTTTTCTTTTCACTTTAATCTTGGATATATTTGTTTTCTTTATGCTTGGCTTCTTATTCTATCAACAAACTCTGCCCTTGCTAGTTCAGCAAAAAGGGGCACTACCCAACAAACCTTATCACGTAAACAATCCAATGAGAGGATACCAATTTTTTTTTCTGCTAACAACCACACACAAAAATAAATAAAAAATCAGAAAAATACCCCATTTTTAAAATTTTCTTATCAAAATTTTGATTATAAATTATTTTAAATACAAAAAAAATTAATGTAAAGAAGTAGTGAGGTGTTGGTCATTAGTCATTACATACGCTGCTTCTACTGCATTTATAGTATTATCAATTCAAAACTTAAGCCTAGCACATATGTCATAGAGAACAAGACACTAATGCCAAATACAAAACACATAACATAAACAATACGGCAAGATTTCTTACATTTTATTTAATTTTATTATTATTGGTTCGAAATTAAATCAACAATTATAAAATGACATAAAATGAAAGGTATTGATTTAATTTTAATTCAATAATAATAAAATTAATTATAAGAGGTAATAAGAAAAAAAAATATCACAGAATAATATATTATTTTCTATTTAGAGGAAAAATGATTTTACACATATTGTAAGTAGAGGTGACAAAGTGAGCGATTCGTTATCAACCCGTCAAAAAAATGAGTAAGCATGTCCCATCTTATTTTTTAAAATGGACTAAAAAACTCAATCCACTACATCCAAATTCGCGGGTTGAACCGGTTGGCCCACCGAGCTCAACCCTTTTTGCCGCTCTAGTTGTAAGGCGATGAAACAGAGAACTGAACATATGCAAGAGAGAGTCAGAAACATACCTGGTTTTGGAATGGCTTGAAAAAAGACCAAAAGAGATTTAGCATCCCAGCATGTACCATCACAGGTCCAATTCCTTCTTTGTTTCGATGCGATGAGAATAGTGGCACGTCACCGATACTATCCAATGGCACCAAGTTTCTCCAGCTAGAGTCCGACCCAACCACCATTTGGACGCCGGGAAAAGCAACATACACCACGCCGCCGCCACTTCGCTCCGTCACGAAACTCCCCGGCGGCGCGGTGGCTGCCATGCTGCACAGCCTCCATGACTCCGACAACAGTGGCGTCGAGGCCAGAAACGTTGCCAGCATCTCGCTGGTCTCAAATCTGACATATGGCAAATTCATCGTTCGAATTATTAACAACTACAACATAAGCTAATAATTAATTAGCGTACCTCTGCTTCTTCTTCTTTTTTTCTTTGAAAGTTTTTGAGGTATTATTAATTTGAAGACCATAGTTTTTATTTTATTTTAAAAATATTGGGTGGGAAATTATTCAAGTCTTAATGAGTGGTGAGGAAGAGTGAATAACTTACTGTGAAGCTTCGTCCGGAACCATGGAATAGTGGCGTGTTCTTCGATGGAGAGGCAGAATAAGCTTTGAACGAATTGAGAATTTATGTGAAAGTTTAAGCTTTTTGTATTGTATGCATAAAGTATAACCTGTGTTATACTAAAAAAAAAGAGAGTATAACCTGTGTTTAAGTGCCAAGTGTCTCTTTTTTCCTTCTTCTTTTTTTAACTCATTGTAAAATAACTCTTTATGACTAAATTCTTAAATTGTCCTTCAAATTTAAGTGTATCGTCATATTGATTTTTTTATGATTTTAATTATGAAATTCATCTATCTAAAATCTAACTCTAAGTATATTGTGTTTGTAAAGGATTAAAGTAATAATAAAATAAATAAATTTAGTAACTCTTTTATATTTTTTAGAGACTAATTTAAAAATAAGCATCTTTACAGGACTAATTAATATGATACAGTGTTAATTTTAGAAAATCGATATAAATATTTACTCTAAATATAATGACCAAAGACTACTAATTTTAATCAGTATGTTTTAAAGCCAAGTATAGTGTTTTGGCAATAAATAAATAAATAAGCATCATTCCATTACTTCTTTTTTTTTTGGTATCCCCATTACTTATCTTTTTATCATGCGATTCATCAACAATTGTATTAGTTAAATTGTTAGTTGTTTTTAGTAAACCTTAAATATTTATTATAAAATCACCATGTAATTATCAAATGTTTAATATTGAGTACATTCCATTTGAAAAAAAGGATTCAAATTAATCTAGCGGTGATTAGTTCAGTTAAAGTAAAAAAAAAAAGTGAATACCAAATGGTGGTAGCTCAGTTAGCGCATGAAAGCTAAACAAGTGGGGGTAAGAGCATGTGTTCGAATCTTTCCAATACCACCTTTGAGAGAGATTTAAAGCCTTAATCCTGGACTTGTCCCGAATCGAATTAATTGCGAAACAATGAACTGATTGGAATATTTAAAATAATAATAATAATAATAATAAAGGTGAATGAAAGTGGCAAGTGGCCCCTCTTCGTTAGGTTGATTTTTCTGAATTTTTATCAGAACTTATTGTTTAAATAGGGACAAAATTAAAAAAAATATAAAATGTAGTAACACTGGTGTTAAGGGAGTATGAGTATTTTCTATCACAAAAACATTACTGATTAAAAAGAAAAAAACTTAAGAATGTTTTAATTCTAAAGCAAACCTAAGGGTATTACTAAATGAATTTTAAAAATATAAAAACTGACAAATCTATCAGTGTTTGGTTGGAGCTTTTTGTGAGGATACCTAAGTATATGAGATTGGATTTTTGTGTTATCCATGTTTGGTAAAAAAAATTACAAAATTTTCTTAGCTAACTTGGTTCCCCATTATTTCATAATTGTGTGTAAAAATAAATGAAAAATACTGTTCAACTTATCCACTTCTAACATGGTATTTGGGAGAAAGCTGGGTAAATGACAAAAACCAACATATGCACAGTACAACTTACAACTTTTTTCCAGTAATATTTTACTCAACCAAACAACTTTTTTTACATTTTCCTACCAAACTCACTTTCCAACCATTTCCCTATCAATTACATTTTTCTAGTATTCAAAAAATTTCTCCTTAACCAAACGCCCTCTTAAGAATTAAAAAAAATCACCATCATATTTCTATTTCACATCCGGTATGAAATAGCAGAATTAAAGTATAAATACGTAAAACATTTTGGTAAAATTGGCTATAATCAGATGATAAAATTTATTCAAATACGTTTTACCAAAAAAAAAATTATTCAAATATGAAGTTATATGTGTATAAAGTATGTGTAAAAATTACTATACGCAATAATAACAACTTTATCATTTGATTTCTTTCTTTAACAGCCAGTACAGTTGAAATCCTCCATTCTTAACATACTTTTCGGTACATATATAAAAGAATCTAAGGCAATGTTTGGTTCAGGAGTTCTCAACATTTTTCCATCTAAGTGCATGTGGCAATCTCTCTTCTTCTTGTTTGGTTGAAGATTTTATGACATTTATCTATCAAACACACTTGCCCATGTAAGTACAAATGCGTGTAAAAAATGTGCAAATACACTGTTGAAGAATGCTATTTGCAACATGATATTTTTTGAAAAATCAGAGAAATCGAAAAAGTGGATGAAAATCAAGACAAGAATACCCCTCTTCTTAATCACATGTAACATTCAAAATTTTATAAAAAGGTTACTTTCGTAATTTCTATCCATTTTCTCATCAAATTTTTATTTTCAACCAAACATACACTCAGCATATTTAACCCAATTTTCCTAGTAATATTTTGCGGTACCAAACAATTTTTTTTAAACTTTTCTACCAAACTTATTTTCCTATATTTTTCCTTGTAATTACATTTTCCTAATAAAAAAAAAAATTCTCTTGAACCAAGCACCTCAAAAAGAATAAAGTTGAGTTCAATTAGCTAGTATTGAAGCTTCTAAAAAGTCAATTCGGTTATCCAAAAATAAAAAAGTCAACTCGTAGAGCGAACAAGAGGATCGATTTTTTCAAGTTATATTGGTGACCAATTAATTAAATACATAAAGGGTTCCTTTAAATACAATACGGCGTTATTTTGAGGCAGAAATCATGGTGTTTTTATAATTTTAATTTATTTCAGGATTATTATAGTCTTTATAATTATAATTTTTTAATATTTCAATTCCAAAACGACGTTATTTTTAGAATAAATGCAGAGTAACTATAGAAATATTTTTCTGATAAATAAATATACGCAACATAACTTAGTTATTCTTTATATTTCGTAGAAAAAAATGTGTTTTGGGGTTGTTATTATGATAATTAAATATTTGTATCGATGTAACGATATATGATTGAGTGATGATATTTGAAAAAATTATACTGAAAATACATCAAAATTTAATTTTTAAATAAATTACACTACTCTTAACGATATATCAACCCCTAAGGGTAGCTCAGTTGGCAGCTGAGCTCCCAAGGGATTGCTTGGTGCAGGGATCAAACACTGCCTCAAGCAGTTTCTTAGAAAACCTTTGGGGGCCAGAGGATAAGCCAAAAATCTTCGGTTGGGGATTAGTCTCGTCCTTACGGGCCGTACCCCGAGGACATGGTGCCCGGAGAAGGTTTAATGGGGATACCTCCTGACAATGTACCAAAAAAAAAAAGTAATTTTATCCGCTACACACCCATCGAAAATCGTGACACTTTTTTTTTTTTAAATGGCGGACCATATCATATGTATCTCTACAACATGAGAGAAGATCTCTCATGTAACATAAGATTAAATGAACCCTTCAATTTAACTCAAAAGCCCAAGTATCTAAAATTCTAAACAAATATAAAGTTGAATTATACTTTCTTTTTGTTTGTAAAGACAAACGTAAAAGCCCAATAAAAGAAAATGGATAAGAAGCGTGGTTTGGCCCATCCTTTATCCAACTTCTACAACAAAGAAAATGAATTGATTGTTTATCAACCGATTTAAACCATTTCAAATTTGATCGAATTGAAAAACAGATAATTAAATAAATCGAAAACAAAAATTGAAAACTGAAAAAAAAGACACAAAGTTTAATTGGATTGGATCGGTTTTCGGATTGGCTGATAAAAATCGATTTAATCCAAACCGATCCAATATATTAATTCCTCTCTACCTACTTGGACATTTCCCCAATCATAGCTCAAAAATTTCTAAACCTAAGACCCATTAACCCGTCAACTAAATTAAAAAAAAACCTAGTCACATCTCATCAATAAAATTTCATCTATGTAGAGTTTCATATCTCATTGTCCAAAAAAAAAAAATTATATTATCGTTTACTGATGCTTTTATATTTAAAAATAATAATTACAAAGCCAGTATATACAAAAGATGTTATTTGCACGATAATTATGAAATAAATTTTAGAATTTTTAAAAAACCGAAAATCGATCCAATCCAAATCGATTTTTTTTTTGAATGGATCGGATTGGATTTGAAAAAAAATCCAAACCGAATGGATAATTACATGATCAAACCGAAGAAATTGGATCAGATGATTTTTGCTTCCAAAATCGATCCAATCCATCCACGAACACCCCTACTTACGGGAAAAAAATGTGGTTTTATTTTTCTATCAATTTTTTTTTTTAAAAAAAGCTACATGTATCCTTTACGAGATGCAATTCTGTTTAGAACGGGTTCAATATTAAGATTTTAAACTCTTTCAAAAATGATACTAAAAAGAATCGAATGTATGCTCCCATCCCTATTTACTCAGCTCTCATAGGCCAATTGAGCTACCAGATATTTTTCTAACAATTTTGATTTTAATAAACCCACACCTCATACTAAGATGGATAAGACAGCCCCACTTGGATGCGTGGCTGGGTGCTGCGGCCCTCAAGTTTTAGATTTATTTTTATCAAATTATATTGCTCATTAAAAATAAATAAATGTTATAAAAGAAAATATTAGAGATAAGAGGTGGCGAATCCTCAAATAAATGTTCTAGATGTGTTGCTTAATTCACTAACTTCAGCAACCGGATACAAGGGCCAACTGACAATGGGCCTCAAAAAATTAAATTCATCATTGGCCCAAAGGATAATAGAACACACATATAGCATATATCAGCCGAACAATGAATATAACATGTAAATGGTCTAAGGTTTAGGAAATAACCAGTATTTTAAAACTCTGCCCGTTCCGGAGTCGACCTCGTCGAGTCATTGACCCCATCTCTTTGAAGGTTGAGGTCAACAGTTAGATCTTGCATGAACGTTGACCTCTTTGACCCTAAGAATCCTCTGGTTGAATCCGTGACTCCCAAGTCAGAGGGGGTCATTGCATTTAAAAAAAAAATACACAAAAAGTCGTTTGGTGTGTTAAAACAAAAACAAAACAAAACAAAACAAAAACTCATTGTTGCTTAAATCTAGAACTAGAAATCTGAATAGTTCTTTTTCTTCTCTTCCGATCTTCTCTCCCCGACTCAAACTCGGTCTCCCTATCTTCTCTCCCAGACCCAAACTTAGTCTCCCTGATCCAATGATATTCTTCGCCATAGTGGTGGTTCCTCCTATCCTCT